CACGTAGCCCTCCCGCTGCTTGCCATCCCTCATGCAAATGACGAACGGGGCCTCACAGACGTTGTTTCCCAGCGTAGCTGCCGTGCCGTCGCCCATGGCGGGGAACAGTCCGGCGTCGGAAATGAATCGCAGCAGGGCCGGGGCATCGTGTTGGCAGATCTGGCACTCATGGATGAGGGCGGTGTCTTGGAAGAGGGAGAATGCGAAGTCCAGGCCGCCGCTTGGGCGCGTGATGTGCTCGTGCCTGAACAGGCCGCTCCGGTGCAGCACCGCCCACTTGCGGCTGTCGTCGTCTGGGGCGGCGTGGAGGGCCGGGGCGATGCCGAGGATAGTCAAGAGAAGAAGCAAGTGCCCTTCCATCGACCATCCTCGCAATAATGCGGCTATGGACTCACAGATCAGGCGGTTTGGTTGGTTGGTTATTGTGTTTAACGAGACTCGTGTCTGTAACCCCGAGGGGATCCTGTCCAGGTCACGCACTAAACTAGCAGCATGCACATGCATAGAAGCATGCACACGGCCTGTCTCCCCATCCCACCCACCCACTCGACACGCACGTGCCACCCTATGATGGTCAGAAAATCGCTGTCGACAACGGTTGCAGGTATATGAGAATGACAGCCAGACATAGGCAAGACACCCAGAGGCTAGTCAGAGAGCTCGACGTCGAGCGCCCACTGATCTAAGATATGCTGTTCGTACAGCAGCTCGTCGTCTTCCCCTGCCTGACTGTCTGGCAAAAATGGGTTGAGGGCAAGCCCCTCAGTGCGTGTCGCCTGTGCTGACAGAAGAAAGTCGGCCGCTGCAGAAAGCACCGGCAGTTTGTCCGATTGCAGCACACAATAAGTGAACACAATTGGATGTGACCTGCGCCACAGACGATAACTAGAGGCATCAGGGGCAGTCACGCCATGCCGGCCGACAATTGTGTGCAGAGTGTCCCGCAGAGAGCGATACAATGGACAGGATGCAAAAATATGAGGCTCATCCTCAATGGGAGGGCGGGTGATTGATTGCCCAGTAAGGCTCACGGCAGATACGAGCAAGTCAATTCTGTGCGAGCAAAACGGGCAGACGCTACCCTCTCGCGGCCGGCCGAGGATGCGTCCATCCATGATGGCAGAAGGGTAGCAGCCCACACGAAAAAGAAACAGAACACGGCGCTTACGAAAGGGCAGTGACGGGTAGGAAGGAAAGCACGGCAACGGCTGAATGAGGCGATGGAGCCAGTCTTGCCCTTGCTGCACCACATGTATATACGCAGCAGCAGGCACATATGGCGCCATACACACAATCGAGTCCATGTCACACGGGCAGTCACGTAAGGGAGACGGAAAAGAACGATGTAGGCGAGGAAATGCTAGAGGAAAGGCATGATTGAACAGAGAGGATGGCACGAACAGCTCCTTGCGTGCCTGAAAGAGGGCTCTACGAGTAACAGCTGTCTGACCAC